CTTGTTCTCTGGCTGTGGTGTCCCTCCCAAGCCCAGCACTCCTGAGGTACAGATGCTATTTGGCCCTTCCAGAAATGCAGAGCCAGAGGCTACATGACTGAATCTTGTGTGGTGGGGCTTGGTCCTTCCACATCAAGAAAATATTCCCGGGCTGGGCATGGTACCACACACCTATAATCCCAGCCCTGGGGAGGCAGAGGCAGGCAGATCTCTGTGAGTTCGAGGGCAGCCTGGTCTACAAAGTGAGTTCTAAGACAGCCAGGGCTATATAGGAGACCTTCTTTCAAACAAGCAAACACACACACCAACACACTAACACACCAACCATCTCCCCCAAAAGATGGGGTGGGAGCTTCTCAAACATGGGTCAGGGTTGGTCTGTGGGACTAAGCTTCTCTGGCCTGGACAAGGGTTCTCAGGTAACACGGAGGGCCTGGCTCAACCTAGTAAGTAAGTTACAGTGAGCCCCGACTGCTCCCTCCAGCTGACCAGCTGGAAGAAGAGCCCGGGACTTCTCAGTGGTGTGGAGCATGGAGGCCCTTCTTGTGGCCAGCACTGTCCTTGGAGGGCTTGTGACTGTCTCCTGTCCCTGCAGGCTGGCCCAGCTGGATGTGGACAGCCACCTTGCTCAGTGCTTGGCCGAAAGCACAGAAGACGTGGTTTGGTGAGCTGCAGGGTGCTTTGCTGCATCTGTGCTGTCGTTGGATGCGGCTACTGAGATGTGGACACCTGGGTTCGGGCTCCTGCTCGTGTTCATGGGCGCTGTGCATGACGCTTGTTACTGACAGCCAGTGGACAGCAGCCGATCCCGTGATGGTTCATTTCCATTGGCAGCTGGATTTGGAATCACCTAGGAGGCGTGTCTTCGAAGCTGTTCCCAGGGACTTCCTGGGAAAGGAAGACCCACCTTGACAGGGTGGCACTGTGCCCTGGGGTCCCACTGAGAAGGGAAAAGAGAGAAATTGCTGTGGTGTGCCTCCCACCTGTCACACATGATATCAGAGCTGCTTTTGCGCCTGTACCTTCAACACTTTTGAGCCAGAGTAAATCTTAAGTCGCTTTGATCAAGCATTTTGTCATAGCGAGAAGAAAAAGTAATCCACTCACCCAGGCTGGGAGCCAGGGTCTGTCACAAGGGAGAACTGGGTGTCTGCCGGAGCCAGTATCTGTAGAAGGCAGCACCTCTGCCTGCAGGGGTGAGACACGGTCACATTTCACAGGCATTTTTAAAAGGGTAATTGTGTATTTGTGTCTGGGTAGGGCTACATGTGTGTGAGTGTAGCTGCCCACGGAAGCCAGTAGAGGGCATTGGATCCCCTGGAGCTAGTTACGGGCAGTTCCGTCCTCACCACTGAAGCTGCTTGGCAGCCCTGCAGATGCACGTAGCTCTCCATTCAGAAAGTCCTGCAGGCCGGCAGCGTGTCCCCTCTCTCACTGACCTGAGGTGGGAGATGACAGGTCACGGGGTACACAAGGGGCTCAGTGTACTTCCTGCAGGGGCCTTGGGAGACAGGAAGCCCACTACCTCTGGGGCAGAGCAGGGCGCCTGTCCTCAGTGTCACCATGGGCCCTGAGCGGAACTCCCCGTGTTCACTCCTTGGTTTCCTGGACTAAGAGGGAACTATGTTGTCTGCCTAGCCTGGGGAGTGTCTTGGTGGTTCAGTGTTTGCCCGGTCTGAACCAACCCTGGTTCTAGCCAGGGTTAGAAAGGCACATGTCCTGGCAACTACAGCCGACTGGCACAGCATGGAGCGCCTCTGCCACCTTACAGCTAAGGGGGAGGGCTCAAAGCCATTTCACTTCTCATCAAGAGGGGCCCCTGAAGAGAATTTAAAGACAAACAGGGGCCGTACCTTGTGAGCCACATGTTCCGGCTGACACATAAGTAAAACGGGGTAAAACCAAATTTAGGTTGTTTTCTAATTGTGCCAGTAAGTCCAGATTCTAAATAATGGGCTCTGATACCCACTTAGGCCTGGCACTCCAGCCCCCCTCCCACCTTTTCGTGTTTTGCACTCACTTTGGTTAAGGACAACTTGATTTTCCTCGTTCCCTCCCAAGTGCTGGAATTATGATGTGTCCCACTAAACTCATTTGGTCTGACGTTCTGCCTATGGAAACAATATTGGCTGGGCTCGAGCAGGCACGGTGAGAGCCTAAGACAACCATCAAGTCTGTTTTTTTTTTTTTTTTTTTTTTTTTCTTTTCAAAAATGGTTTTAATGAGTTGGGTTTGGTGGCTCACATGTGTGACCCTAGCAGTTGGCTGCTGAGGATGAAAGGTCAGTTCGTGCCCAGCCACTCCTGCACACACAGACAAGAACAACCTGCGCAGGAGCCCCTATCTCAAAAACAAAGGGAAGAGTTTCATACCAACCCCCAAAACACGAAGGGGGCTGTGGTGCAGCACGGCGGTTGGAGAGGGCTCATCTGGCGTGGTAAGGTCTGGTGCGATGCCTAGAACCCCTCAAAAAACTCAAACCACCCAAAACCAGCTGTGTTGCCAGGTGAAGAGAACACTGGAAGAGGCTGCCGTGTTAGGGTTCTCCTAGAGGGGAGCCGAGAGACAGGTGTCGCCAGATGAGAGGACTCCCTGGCCACAGGCTGAAAAGTGACAGGCTGCCTGCAGGTGGGAGATCTAAGGGAAAGGCCTCAGAACCAGGGTCACCCATGACCTGGAGCTCTGACATAAGAGCCTAAATGGTATCTCCTGAGGAGAACTTTTCACTTGGCCCAGGGAGACTCACTAGTCTCTGGAAACACCCTCACAGACACCCCAAAATTATGTGCTTCCGGGTTTCCAGAGAGCCCTCCTGTAGTCAGGCTGGCACTTTTCTGATGGTAATCCCTGTGTATAACCTGAACAAGTAAAGGTCTGTAGAGCAGAGCCAGGAGGACAGCGCAGTGTCACAGCAGGAGGAAGAGGGCGTGTCTCAGTTGTGAGGCGCTCACAGGGATGGTGAGGCAGGTAGGTGGGCTCTTGTCCTGTTCCGTGTTGTGAGCCTAAATGTATTCTAGGAAGGGGCTCAGGAAAATGGAACAGCCCCCCTTGCTTTCCCCAGACACCTACTGTGAAGACAAATAACGACAGAAAGGGCATTTTCATCAAAGTCTTTAATGGGTGTGCAAGAATACGAACGACCTTGGCCGTGGAGGGCGAGATCATCACCCACAGAAGGGACGCCGGCCGGCGATGGGCTCCACTGATCAATCGTACAAAACCACGTGGTTATGCTCACTGCTTTACAATCATGAGGTCACCAGTGTTTTCGAACCATTTTCAAAAGACACACACTATCCTGCCAGAGCTGTCTGCAAACGTTAGGGTATTTTCCCTCCCAACCCCAAGTCACATTTCAGTACATCCTTCACTTTCTTTAATTTATAAAACAAGGTAGTGTATATAAAATCTCCCCTTCCGGTGGGCACAGTGTTATCCACACATTTGTACATGAGCGGCCGAACCAGTGGCCAGCAAGTAGTTTGGCAGTATGCAGATAAACACCCCTTTCCTGACAAACCAAGGGCTCCTGTGCTCTCTGGGCAAAGGAGTTGTTGCTGTCCTGAGGGAGCACAGAGGGAAGAAAGGAGCTGGCAGGAGCCCGTTCGCTCTGGGGCCATCTGTGGGCTCTTCATCTCAGCAGCTCTGCTCAGAGGTGGGTGTGCCTGCATGGCCCTCATACTGGGGCTCCAGCCACCTGGACACCCAAGGCTGCGCTGGATAGCCCTAGGAGGCCCAAAAATTGGCTCTTAGGCTCTGTTTGCATTTTTTTTTTTTTTTTTTTTGACCAGTTGTTGGGGACACGTCTTACTGATGGACACTGGGAGTGCTGGTTGAAATGTGTCCATGTTCAACAGGAGTTACGGAGCCGCCCATAAGCCTGGGCTGCCTGTTCTGTCCCAGCACCGTGGACCTGGGTGTGGTGGACCTGGGTGTGGTGGACCTGGGTGTGGTGGACCTGGGTGTGGTGGACCTGGTGTGGCTCTGATGTGTTCAGCGCCAGCATGGCAAAGGCTGAGAAACCTGAGTGTGTTGGGGGAGGGCTGCGGACAGCGCTGTAACAGCGCTTCTAGATTTTCATTGTCTCCAGCTTTGATTTTTGCCAGGACCCCCAGCAAACAGGGCAGGAGGCTAGACACCACCCCGCCCGACATGGCGACTCCAGGCCTTGGTCTGGCAGGGTTGGGATGTGTAGCGTGTTTGCCACACGGGCCAGCCTGGCTTGGGTGGAGCTAGGGGCTCAGTGCAGCTTCTCCATCCCCTGCCCGGAACCCAGGTGCACAAACGATGGCTCCTGCCACACCTGACCTGCTGAGGAGTCAGCTGACCTCTTTCCAGAAAGCCTTGGGCTGGCCTCCCGGACTAATCTAAAGAGAAGGGTGGCTGAGCACAGCAGTATGGAAGCAGGCACGCTTCCTCAGGAAGAGTACGGGATTATGTGAATTCTGTCACTTTAAGGCTAGGGTCCATCACACACGTGTCTTTTAAATTTTCTAATCTGGAGTATTAATGACAAAAATATTTTCCAAAAATCTAATGTATAACACAAGATATCTTGGAGGCACTGGCTAGTATTTTCAGAAATATATTTTGTACGGATTTCATTTTCAACTCTTTTCCTTTTTTATTTATTTACTTATTTATTTGGTTTACTGGTGCTTTGGTGAGCAGTGTTTTAGAATCTCTATAATCCAGTTTCCCCCATCAGAGTCCAGGGCTGGTGGGGACAGCGCCACCAACCTGGCCAGGGTGTCACTTTGGCCTTGGACTTCCGGCTAGCTGCACTAGGTATGAGAATACTTGTTAAATATTAACAACAGAACTTACCGGGATTTAGAAAACGTTCCGAGTCTGTAACAACTTGCTGCAGCGCACCCTGCAGGCACTTGGGTGCCCGTGCCGTGCCCTGCCTGCTCAGAGAGCATGCTCCTCCTCACGAGGGGGGCCTGCGCTGGGACGTCAGGTGGGTGCCACTCAGAAAAAAGGCATCAGAGGAAGCGTCTGCGTCATCGGTACATTTTATTCCTCGGGGCATTACACGCTAACTTTTCCTGGAGCGGGTCAGTGCATTGAGTTCTGTTTCTGTGGAAAATATGCACCTTCAAAACGGTGTGACTGTCTCGCCCTCTGGGGGGCCGCCATGGGCACAGGAAGAGATTCCTCCAGCACAAAGGCAGCTTCCGGGGCCCGGACGCAAGAGACTGCTCTGTCCAGGAGTGCCTGTTGGGTGCCCCTCTGCGGTCGTGGCGGCCAGCACCCCTCCCTGGCTGCCCGGAGCCTCGGTGCCCAGCCTGGCATGCATATGCTGTAGTTAGGGTAAAGTGACGGGGTCATTCACAGGCGTGTCCACAACAGAGATGCTCACAGCCTCACACGGACTCCTCGGCAGACAGCAGAAGCGGGTTGATGTACTCAAAGCCTTCGAACTCCGACTGGTCAATCCTCTTTATGACGTCCCTAAAAACACAGTCCGGGTGAAGAGTGGCCTCGGTGCGCCGCCCTCAGACCCCACCCTTCCCCCAGCGCTCGCACCCGCCCAGGACTCACTCGTCATCCGGGGTCAGCTGCACGGGCTCGCTGGTGAACTGCGTGTCGAAGTTGTCCAGGCCATAGTCATCAGTGATCTGGGGCTGGAAGGGAGGCAGGGCCTGCTTCTTCTCCAGCTGCGGATACGGACAGGGCAGCGTCAGGTGGGCGTGGCGCGCCCCCCTCCCCACTTCACAGATAAAAAGGGCAGCTCAGCTTTCCAACAGGCCTGCTACCTGAATGCCAAAATTTCCCCCTTAAACACAGAATCTAGAACATACCCATCGCCTGAGTTAAAAAAAAAAAAAGTGCTGGACGTAAGGCCCTGGGGACTCGTGCCTGGGGAAACATGACACTGCTAGTGGCTGAAATCGTTCGTCCAACTCCTTCCTTCCTTCCTTCCTTCCTTCCTTCCTTCCTTCCTTCCCTCCCAGCTTCCTTCCTTCCTTCTTTCCTTCCTTCTTTCCTTCCTTCCTTCCTTCCTTCCTTCCTTCCTTCCTTCCTTCCTTCCTTCCTTCCTTCCTTCCTGTCTCAGAACCTGATCACCATGGCACCAGATGGGCACTGGGAGAAGCCATCCTCAGGCGTTCCGTCCCCTCCCCGTAACGTGCCTGCTCCATCCCTTATCATTCAGGGCTGGACCCTCTAGTGTGGCAGGGAATATGCACAGCAGCCACATGGCACCAAGGTGTGTGGGGCAAGGAAGGCCCCTCACAGCCTCACACTCATCCATTCATGCTTGGTAACACCACTGCCTGCGCTCTAGGCATCCAGGTGTGTGAGGTGGATCTCCAAATTCACGACCAGCCTGGTCTAGGCGGCTAGTTCAGGCCAGCCGGACACACAGCACAAGATGCCTGAACTTACAGGTTCATCATAAGCTTCTCACATTCATAGTATTAGTCTTTGTCCCGCCCTCCTTTCTAGCCTCTCGTCCCAAGCATTCTGCTCTTGTAACTGTTCTGACCACTTTGGGCTCCAAAAAAGAGAGAGGGCCGTGGTGTGCCAGGATGGAAGGTTCTTTCTTACTTATTTATATTTTATGCGCACTGATGTTTTGCCTGCATGCATGTCTGTGTGAGGGTGTTGGATCCCCTGGAACTGGAATTGTGACAGTTGTGAGGTGTCATGGTGAGTGCTGGGAATTGAACCCTGGCCTTCTGGAAAAACAGCCAGTGCTCTAACCACTGAGCCATGTCTCCATGACTGACTATTTATAATACAGGTTCAGCGTGGCATACACCTTTAGACCCAGCACTCAGGTGGCACAGGCAGATGGATCTCTGTGAGTTCAAAGCCAGCCTGCTGTATAGAGCAGGTTCCAGGGAAGCCAAGGCAACACAGACACTGCCTCATAAATGAATGAATGAATGAATGAATGAATGAATGAATAAATAAATAAATGAAGTTAAGAGATGTGATAGAGCTGTTCTTCCTCATCAAGGGCTCGGGCCCCGGGGTGACTACGGGGGAGCATCCCTGAGCATCTGGCAGCCAGCCGTCCGTCCAGCATTCACTCAGCTCTTTCAGGGGAGATGGGTGACCACTGGTTCCAGAACGACGGAAGACCTGCTGTGAGCGGCACCGCCCCCATGGCTCGGGACTCGGGCCTTGGGGAGACTGCGTGAGTCTGCTCTTGACTTCACATCTGGCTGGCACAGGAGCTGACGCAACACTTCCCTGCCTAACGACGGCTCCGTGGCAGGGGCCAGTGTCTCTGCTCTTAGAAACAACGCTGGTCCAACAGAGTACAGCGTACAAGGGCGAGTGAGCGAGCAAGGGAATGGGGGAGTGAATGAAGGTGGAGAGTGGGTGGGTTCTCCATGAGAGAGAGTGAGGGTCACAGTGCAGTCTACTGCCACCACAGAGGCCCTGAGAGTGGGTAACAGATGAGGACCAGGAAGTTGTCCTGCTGTCCCGGATGGGGCGCCACCTCTAACGAGGCACCTGGCGCCCATGCCTGCAGCCTTTCAGGGTCCTAACCGGCCCAGCCCCAGCCCCGCCCGCACCCCAGAAGTTCCCAGTTTTAGGGGCACACTTAGCTGTCTAGAACGCAGCCAGCTGTGTTACCAAGCCTGAATGAGGGTGCATGTGGGTATGAGCAAGGACTCGCCATCTGCATCCTGTGATACCACAGTGATACCGGAGTCTCTTCCTACTGCTGTGTATTCCCTGGCAGGCCAGAGGGTCCACTCGGAGACAGTGTGAGATGGAGACGGCAGCACAGGTGGATACAGCACAGAGGGGAGACGGGAGGCAGTCTCCCCAGGCCCAGCGGCCTCTGCAATGACTCCAGAACTCACACGGGCCAGTCCTCAGCACTGCTGCAGGCAGGGGGACTAGCAGAGAGCACATGGGTAGCACTGGCCATCTGCAGTCTTGGCGTCCAAGCCAAAGAAAAGGCCCAGAGGTCAGGATGGTGCGGCCACCGCCTTCTGAACTCTGGCCTCTGCAGGCTGGGCCTGGGCAATGAGGGGAACAGGGTGCTGGTCCTATTCGGCGAGGTGTGCCTGGGGCTAGTAGCAGTTGTGACTCCGTTTCTGATGACTCCAGCTGGCCACAGTTCCCACAACTGCCTCCAGCACCTGTTTGTCTCTGGAGCCCCGTGCCCCACCGGGCTCCTATACCGTCCCTTCCCTCCTGGACTCGCCCTTTCCTTTTTCTTTGGCTGGATGCCTGGGAAACCAGGTTCTGTGGGTCTGCCCTGCTTGTTCTCTGGAGTAAAGACCTTCTTCGAGAAGCCTTTGCCTATTAAATGAGCCCAAACTGCCCTCATCTGTCTGCACGTGCGGGGGTGCACGCGCGCTCCCGGCACACGCATGGAGGTCCGAGGACAGCTTCTGCGAGACAGTTCTCTCACTGTGCCTCGTGCACCCTGGAGTTCTAGGCCATCAGCTTGGGGGCAAGTACCTTTCCCCACTCAACTGCTGCCTCACTGGTCTAGGCCTATTTAAATCGCCTGACACGGGGCAGCAATGGAGGCTGTCAGCTTCCTGTCAGCTCTCACTGCTGGGACCTGATGTCAAGGGAGCTTGTTTTAGCCACCGTCTGACTCACTCCTCAAGGTGGCCAGTCGCCATGGCACCTGCCGGCAACCTGGAACGTAGCAGGTTTGACGGCAGGTGGTAGCAATGCCCAGATGGCTGCTTCGGCTCTCTCCGGTTCATGACGGGTCAAGGACTGGGACCTTTATGAAGATACATACCTTACAGATCTGGCACGCTGTCACATCCCTATGGAGCACCAGACACAGAGGGTCTGTGGACAGACCCTTGAAGTGACCTGCCCTAGCCAAGCATCCTAAGGGAGCCAGGACTCCGCTGCATGGACCCATTTCTTTCTGAACCAATTTACTGACTAGTCACAACCCTGCCCGGGACTGTGTCCAACAGCTTTCCCATGGCCTTTAGGCTAATATCCAAGCCTTCTGGTGGAGACTGGGCAGCAAAGAACGTGCCGGATGGCCCATGGCGGACACTGTGTGCTCGGTGCAGCATATGGTCCCATCCCAGAGGAGGGCAGGAGGACTGGCCCTGCAGGCCCTCCCTGTGCCCCTCCAGACAGCTGGCACGTGGCTCCCTTCGGACATTACTCTTTCTCCGGAGAAGCGGAGGGGTGGCAGAGGAGCCCATGGCTAACCCCGATCACTAAGCTCTAGGATGGCCTCTGCTGTGAGCTAGAGAGAAGAGGCTTAGGTTACTGTCAGAGACAATGTGCCAAGCAGACAGTCCTCAGACCAGCCACTGGGGCAGGCAGAAGGCTCTGTCTGTTTCCAGAAGAGGGCCTCACCTGTGTCTCTAGTCACTCAGAGCATCCCACTAGTCCTGTCTGAAGCAGAAATCCAGCCTTTAGGCTGAACCTCCTTCTCTGACGCCAGCCACTGTTATGCCTACTTGAGCCTGTCATGATTCCTTCTGCCCCATGACACTGAGGATGGAGGACGGTCCTAGGGGACATTAGGACAGAATGTGCCGGAGGGGTAGTGCTGGTTGAGGGAGGAGGTAGGTGTGGAAGGCTGGTTCCTGCCAGTCTGTCTGGCTACTTACAGGGGCCTCACCTCATAAATGAGCCATCCCAGGCCCCAGCTCAGCCCAGCTGTCCCAGAGGTTCATGTTACCGTTTCCCTGTCACTTCTTTCAAAACCCGAGCCCAAAGGGGGAGCAAAAAGAAGCCAGGGATAAGTCTGCCTCCTCCTGCCCCAAACAGACAGCAGACAGCAGGGCCGCATGCATAGCCTGTAATCCCCAAGCAAGACCCACGGCGGCTGGCCGTGTGCAAGTCTTAAAAGAACGGCGTAAGTGGCCCAAGAACTCGGACACCGGTTACCGCCACGGCTGCACCGATGGTGTTCACCGATGGTGCTGGGCCAGCTAGGGGAAGGGCTGGGATTAGCCTTTTCACGGCCATGGGAGAACAGCTGCAGCTCTCCTTGCTGCCCACATCTGCCTCCTTCCTCAAAGTGCTAGGCTGAGGCCGGCCCCGGCATCCCAGGCCCACCGTGCCACCTCTGTGCTCCCGCCTCAGGCCAGTCGGGAAGCTGCACTCACTGGTGCTGAGTGGCACAGTCCCAGGAAGCCCCTCAGCAGGCAGGACACCGAGTGACGGCCAGGGGCTGAGTGGGCAAATATACACTTCATCTGTGCAATGCAACATTGGGAAGCCATGAAGGCGTGGGTACCAAGCCTTGGAGATGCTTCACCAAGTGGAAGGTTCCAGAATTCAAGGCCACCTGCTGGCCGAGGCCGCTTTCAAGGTAGAGCTGAGAAATGTCAAGTTGCAAGACAGAACACGAGTGAGTGTAGCCAGGGAAGGGAAGGGCATGGTGGGTGTGAGGGCCCACGGCACGAATCTCCTGGGCTGAGGAGGGAAGGCTCTATGATAATGGCTCCACAACCCAGGTGTGCTGAAAACTGCACTGTGCTGTGTATGATGCAGCAGAAGACCTCAGCCCCTCTTGCTGCTCAGAACCAGTGGGCCGCCCAGCCCACTAGAGGGAGCCGGGCTGAAATCAGACATGAGTTACTTCATATCCACTCAGGGTGAGGTAGGATTGGCTGGAGAGGAGGCCTGCCTGCCCAGGGCTGGGAGAGACGATGTAGAACTCTCTCTGCACTGAGAGATTTGCTAGGTCAGTAATTTGGTGTCAGAGTGGGGGTGAAGGGTTCCAAAGCCTGGGGCAGGCAGTGAGCCTGGAGGTGAAGGTACCAATGTTGCACCTAGGCCAGGCCAGGTATGGCTGCATTGTGAAGACCTAGACTAGAAATAAACCCATTGCTTCTCTCTGATGCTGAGAAAGAAAGAGGAATTAAAAGCTCACAAAATTGCTTCTTAAGCATCAAGGGCCAGAGAGACGGTTGGCAAGGAACAGCCAACACTGGGAACCTGAATTTCCTCCCAAGACTGACCCTCTGGCCTCCACGTGTACACACACATTCACAAACACATGTTTAAAAGTGTCAACGCTCTGAATACCGCACAGAGAGAGGCCTGAGAAAGGGAGAGAACAGGAGGTTCTGAGTGTGTGATCACAGGGCGTGGCCCTAGAAGACCACGGGCTGTGGGGCATCACCTCTCCTGATTGCTGTGGCCTCTGAAGCCTGCCCCTCCCCCCCCCCAACACCCCTAGACACAGATAAATAAAAACAAACAGGTAAGTAAGAAGTAAGTAAGGAAGTAAATAAGAAGTGACTCTCTGTGACAACGTCCTCTTCCTCAGGGATGGGCTGTAGACAGTGCTGGTGTGAACTGGAAGGGGCAGAGTGGGCCCAGTGTCCCAGAGTTGCTCAGGGGAATACCTTTACATTTTCCCTCAAAAGAGTGCATTTTATAGGTGACCTTTCAGTAACTTTCCAATTGTTTATTTTAAAACCTTTCTTTTTCTCCTCATATCAGGAGCGGGCTCAGTCAGTGCCTTGAAGCCTTGCTTGCTACCCTGGCAGTGCCCACGGATGGGATAGGCAGGGTCTGGGCAGCTCTGGAAAACCAACCACAACACTGAAGAAAATGCCCTTTCCCCCAGACACCATGCACCACGACCCCATCCGTGCATGACACCAGCCCACCTCACAGGACAGGACAAGTGACCCTTGTGGCTTACCAGGTCCCAGTCTATGCTGCGGAAGAAGGCATGGGACTTGATGTCAGAAAACCCAGTCTGCGGCCGGCAGCCCAGCCTCTCCTTGGGATCCTGGAGATCAGAGTTCAAGGGGGTGAGTCAGGACTCCCAAGGAAACCCCTGGTTCATCCTCAGCCCCAGGGCATGCCCCGGCTCCCCCCATGGGAGTGCACTGTCTCCAGCTGTTCTGGTGTCCCTCTGGGTACGACCTTCCCTCTGTTGGGATTTCTTCCCCAATGGGTCATTTTATCACTGTTTCGAATCAGTAAAAATTAAGCTCACAGATCAGAGCCCCAGTGCCAAGGATGACCAGCCCACAGCACAGCTGGCAGCTGGTAATAAGCAGCTCCAGTAGTGGAGGACTCTGTTCACCCACGCCATCCCACGGGTGACTCGGCCCCAGAGGGTCCCAGAAGAGGTGTCTGTCAGCACAGCCAGAGCATACCTTATTTAAAAATCCTTTCAAGACATGTGAGGCCTTGACAGACAGGAAGCGGGGAATCCGGATTGGCTTTTCCAGGATAACTGTGAGGATGGGGCCGGGTGAGAAGAGTCCTTGGCAGCACAGAGAGCCCCTGAACTTGATTCATTTTTAGGTTTGTTTTTTGGGGGCGGGGGTGGGGGTGGGAAACAGAATCTTGCTATGCATCTAGCCTGGCTGTGAACTCCTGACTTTTCTACCAGCCTCTCGAGTAGCTGGGATTACAAGGCCATGTGAGTCATACCTGGCTTAAACCTCATTTCTAAGCCAGAACTCAGACTTGTAGTCCTGGATCCCCTTCCTGCTCCAGAACCTGCTGGGCCTTCTGGCGCCTCCTGGTGGGATACAGTTGCACATACCACACAACCACGTGTTAACAGCTCCTCTTGAATGTGGAGGCCTCTGGACAGCGGTCACCAGGGGGTGATGAGGGACAGCCCTGAGGGGCATATCAACGGCCATTAACTCTGACCAGGGCCAAGGGTGAAGCTGCCTGGGGCTACAGGAAGTGCCCTGAGTGGATGGAAGTGGGTGCTGGCCGGGTCAGGGCATTCTCGCTCTAGGTGACCCAGGGTAAGCTGGACCATGGCCACCTCCATTCACATTCTCCGCCAGAGGAGTGGTTCCCTATGCGCTTGTACTGGTGCTGAGGCACCAGCCTGGGCAATGGCCTCACCCTCACCTTTGAGAAGGGAAGAAAAGGACATGCAGACACGGGAGGGATACAGGGTGGACTACCAACCTTGGAAAAGGTAGTCTTCAGTGTTCATGTCGGGGTTGTCTGTGATGATGTCAAAGGGGGAACGCCCAGCCATCATCTCAAACATGAGGACTCCCAGCGCCCACCAGTCCACGCTGAACCCTGGGAGGAAGTGGGCAGCCATCAGGAAGGGGGTGTTGGGAGTCCGACACACTCTGTCTGTGAATGTGCACATTTGTCCACCTCTGGGGCAGCCGGGCTGCCCTCTGCTCCCATGCTAGGTGTCTTTTTCCACAGAAGCTGCAGAAATGGTGTGTGGCTGTGACTCCCCTGCCTGCACTGTGACAGCCCAGGCTGTACCTGGCCCTTCAGCTCTGTGGCACATCTTTGGTACACAAACACGCAGAATGTGTCCAAGAATGGACCCTGCTTTGTTCTTGCCATCATTATTTTATTATTATTATTCTTAGGGAAAGGGTCTAACTATGTAGCCCAGGCTGGCTTTGAACCTGTGATCCTCCTGCCTCAGATTCTGGAGTGCACGCCACCATAACTGGCTCTTTTTGTTTCATTTAGACTTATAAAGCCCCCTTCTCACCGAGGAATGCAGTTCAGTGGTAGAGCACCTTTTTCACATGTGCAAAGCTCTAGGTTCAATCCCCAGTGCTGCCAAAATACACAGAACCCACCAGAACCCCTTCTCTGAGATAAGAAAATACTTCCCTGTAATTCCTTCTACATTCGCTAATTTTTTTCTTTCCTCTTTTTTGTTTTTTTAAATTTTTGTTTTTTGATACAGGGTTTCTTTGTGTAGACCTGATTGTTCTGCAATTCGCTCTATAGACCAGGCTGGTCTTGAACTCACAGAGATCCACCTGACTTTGCTTCCCAAGTATTGGGATTAAAGGAATGGGCCACCACTGTCCAACTTGCTTGCTTGCTCACTCTCTCTCTTCTCCTTCCTCCTCCTCCTTTTAATGTTCAAATGCTAAGTTTTTGGGGCAGCAGGAGGGAAGAGCGGCCTTCGGCTGCCTGGCCACCCTACCTTCTCTGGAACAGCCCACCTGCTCCACCACACAGCTCCACCAGGGCTGGTCCTAGGCTGCTGTCTGGCTCTAGTCTTTCCTTCTCTGGTTACTGAGCAACTTCAACTGAAGCAGCTTCTCAGAGCCCAGTCACGTCCTGGGTCAGGACCCACACACGCTGCCTGCCACACACTCATTTCCGACTGGATTCACGGAAGTCACCACCGTGAGTCTGAGACAGACGGCACTCGCTGGTTCTCCAGGCCGCGTGGCAGAAAACACCAGGCCGCAACAGGGTGCGTGTGCACACTGGGTGTAATGAGCCCGTGTGCACAGCAACCCCGCCCCCCCCCCCCCCCCGCACACTCCTGCCCTCCTCCATCTCATGGATGTCCATGTACCCTCTGTGCTGCACCCCGGCTGAGGCAATTCTCCATTCCCAAGGACACCCTGCTTCTTTCACATCCATGTGGCCAGTGGCTGGGGTGCTATTCTTGGGGTGCTCTGACCTGAACCTGAGTCTGTCTGTCCTCATGCTCCTCCTCCCCAGCCTTAGGATTCCTCGGGGAGAGGAATGTTGTTCGGGCCACCTGGTGGGCCTGAAAAGGAGTGCAAGGGAGCAATACCCAGCTGGGAAGCACAGGTGCTGTGTGCTGCCTGTGGGTGCAACTCGGTCACACGTCACTCTGTCTGTTGTGCCAGGGACCTTGTAAGGAAGGGCCAGGCGGGCTCCTGCTCTGAGTGAACACTGCCTGGTGGGGGCCTTCCAGAGAGTGTCCACCTACAGTCACCTCCCGCAGGCCCTGAACTCACCATATTCTTCTCCACGCAGGATTTCAGGGGCGATATAGTTCGGGGTCCCACAGAAGGTGCTCGTTGTGTCCCCAGGGCCTAGGCCTTCCTGTGGGGACAGTGACCAGGAGGGGGTCTCGCATGCAGCTCTCCCCTGAAGGTAAGCCTCAGGGAACCCTGACACGGGAGAGCTACAGCGGGGGGCTCTATGATCACCGCGGAGCTGGCCCAGTCAGTGACTGTTCCTGCGGGATGTCAAGGGCAGACAAGCAAGGCGGGGACGGGTGAGGCGGGCACCTTGCACATGCCATAGTCTGTGAGCTTAATGTGCCCGTCGGCGTCGAGGAGGACGTTGTCCAGCTTCAGGTCCCGGTAGATGATCCCTCTCTCATGCAGGAAGTTGAGGGCGATGCAGATCTCAGCGGCGTAGAACCTGAGGTGGGGCATTCAGCCATCAGCAGAGGGGTAGGGGCAGGCAGCTGGAGCCCCCAGGCCTGCTGGTCACCAGGGAACTGCAAATGCCAATTACAGTGAGACCCCCACATATACCAGCACGCCTTCCTAACACAGCCAGCGTACTCACACACACCAGCCAGCATGAGTGATGAGGTCATGGGAAGCAGAAGCCCCACGGATGGCTGACAGGAATGAAAAATGTGACTGCCGGGAGTCCCCCAAAACACGAAGACCAGGGAAGAGTGCAGCTCAGTGGGAAAGGTCCTGCCTAGCTTACACAAGTCTGGCCCCCAGCACCAGAACAAAAGAACCAACAAACCAGCAACCTGAAGAATAGAAAGGATACATTTCAAACAGCTCCACTGATGCCCAAGGCTGGAGACAGCAGAGGAGGACCGATAACATTATAAAATCCATTACTTTGTATGCTAATTTTAAGAACTGAATTGAAAGTAGGGCCTCCATCACATATGTTTAATACCTATGTCCACCTCATTTATATGTAACCTCATTTATAAAAGCTCAAATGTGGAAGCAAGCACTGATGGATAGATGGATAAAGAAGATGTGGGTAGGACAGAGTGGCTCATGACTGCAAGTCTGAGGCCTGCGTCATATAGCAAATCCCACTGCAGAGGAAGAAAGAGAAGAGGAACAGGGGTTGGGGAGAGAGTATAGCCTCTCAGTACAACGAAAATATTACCCAGCCTTTAAAAGGAATTGGTTTCTGACAGGCTACACAGTGCATCACGAAGAAGACATCATGCCAAGTCAAACATATAGAAAGATGACAATGCAAGGTTCCACGTAGGGGCTGTGTGTGTGTGTGTGTGTGTGTGTGTCTGCAATCAGACAGAAGGAGATGCCCAGGGCTGGAGGTCAGGAGCCTGGGAGTCGGCATGCCCAGCGTCTCACGGTTCCAGTGCGAGAGATGAAGGAAGAGGCTCCGAGTGTGTGGCTGCAAAGCAGTGTGGTCAGCTCCACAGCACCTGACTATGTACTCAAAATGGCTGTGTGCACTTCCCCGTGAGCTTTATAAAAAGCAAGTGGACAGGCATCGAGCGGTTTCTGCCCACTTTTCCCAGAAGGGGCCTAGGTGACTCACAGGACTTCGGGGGGAAAACTGAGGAAAAGAAGGTGTGTGCAAATTTAATCTCTCCAGCTCTCCTACAAGGAGCTGGATGGCAGCTGCTCAAGGCCACAACCAGGATCAGGACTTCCCTCCTGATGCTCAGAGAGGCCTGCTGTGCTCCACTCCTGAGGGAAAAGGACACAGTCAGGATGTCATGATCATGAAAATGAACCAGCCTGGGAAGTCTGCCCTCCTGGGTGAGGGACTTCTGCAGAGAGTCTGGGCAAAGACCAGCCCTGGACACAGAGCTCCCAAAATTCACCTAGAGGCATTGGAACTCCTTATACCACTTCGAAGTCTCATCTTTGCCACCTTCTGCCCAAACTTCAGCCCCTTGTTTTCAGTGCTTTCCTCCTGAGGAAGGTTCCCCAGGCCCCGCCCCGCCGCTCTGGACCCACCTGGCGTGTTCCTCTGGGAGCTTCCTCTGCCTCTGCATGTGGAACATGAGGTCCCCGCCGTTGACGTACTCTATGACCAGGAACAAGCTGGCAGGAGAGAAGGGTAATGGCTCAGAGAAAGAAAACACCCTGAAAGATGCCCTAGACACGACACTGCCAGCGTGGGCAGGCAGAGTGGAAACGCCACAGGTGCTCGAAGTTTGGCATCATCCTGCTGACCTGCTGACTCACAACTGCCCCAGACAAGAGGTAGGGGCCACTGGGCAGCTCCTGGGGTCAGCAAGAAAAACTCCAGGTGACAGGAAGGCTGAGGCCGAGTGCGGCATGAGGCATGGTTTCAGACCCTGACATATGGTCCAAGACCATGTGGGATGATGGATGTGGCTTCATCAAATGACACCAAGGCAGAACACTGCTTTCAGAGAGTTCAAGGCCAGCCTGGTCTTCAGAATGAGTCCCAGGACAGCCAGGGCTACACAGAGAAAGCTTGTCTTGAATCAAACAAACAAACAAACAAACAAACAGATGTTCATTCACCTATCATTTCATCCATGTTCCTAATGATGCTAGATGTGTTAGAGAGTTTAAAAAAGAAAAAAGGTTGCAATAAGGCAGAGGTAATGGTCAGAGGCCCGGGGTTAGGGATAGCAAAGACCTATGGGTCATTCTGGGCGCAGAGCAGGTTTGGCTCAGGGGGACTAACAGGTGCCCAGGCCTGGTATAGGGCAGCTGAGGAAACACCAGGGAGATGTGGTGTAAGGGTTCAGACTGGCTCTAGTCTGAATGTGCTAGACCCCAGGAACCAGAGGTGCCTGTCCACCTGGTGACAGAGGGTCAGTATGGATTGGGGAGGACAGACTGAGGAGGAGCCAGGCTGAACTGAGAGGACCTGCCAGTGGCTAGACTTCGGGATGGGGTAGAGTGTGCTCGACTCAGGCCGCTGGGGCTGAGGTGCAGACACGCTCGCGTGGGGTCAATATAGTAGGTCCAGGAATAGATGGCCATGACGCAGTGAGTCTGAGATACCACCAGCCCAGCAGCTGGGCCAGGGAAGAGTCAGCAGGGGTCAGGCAGAGGTCAAGTCTGAGCTTCAGGGGTGCAGCTCCAGTTTAGGGACTGGGATCCGGCACATAGGTTCCTCATGTCTCCAAACACTGGCCATGTGGTTTCGCTCACTAATACGATCTTTGCTGCATTTAATGAGACTTAATTTCCAAAATTCAATTCACAACAATTTCCCGAGATGGCCTGCTGAGGGCACCTTGGGGACATCTGGGTTGGCGGCTCCTGTTTGCTTTGGAAACGCTCGTGTGCAGCTTGCTGCTCACGGTGCCCACGGCATGGGAGCCGGAGTGGGAGGGGGCAGGCAGACCCTACCTCCTGGCTCCTGTAAGCTTCCAGCATGCTGGGCTAACCTCACCGTCTAACTGTGGATTGCTGCGTGCAGACGCCTGCACTCGGCCTCCGTAGGTCTGGCGAGGAGCCAGAGAAGCCAGGAAAACTGACACAGCCAGTTAACGGGCTGTAAACCACTCACTGAACTTTAAATTACATATTTAGATGAGAAACCATCCCTAATGTGTGGAAATCAGAACAAAAGCTCCCAGTGCCAGATGAGGGACTGTGCTTCCGAGAGGCAAGCCGGCCCCAGGTGTCCTGGTCCTGAAGAGGATTCTAGCACGCCTGTGTCAGGGCCAACGTTTGCACAGACTCATGCACAGGTGCCTGTGGGTGAGGCAACTAGGCCCCTTTGGTCATGCAACCACACCAACCCCGGGGAGACGTAGCAGGCCGGGCAGAGGCCGCAGAGCCCTCCACACTCCTACAGTCAGAGTCCCTGATGCTTCTAAGGCCATGCCACGGCAGGAAGGAAGGAACTGATGGCTCAGAGGGTGGGTGCTGAAACTTATTCGTAACAAAATGCACAAAGTTGGGCCTGGAGAGATGGCTCAGAGGTTAAGAGCACTGGCTGCTCTTCCAGAGCTCTTCCAGCTGAGTTCAATTCCCAGCAACCATCTGTAATGAAACCTGGCGCCCTCTTCTGGCGTGCACAAACATAATAAATAAACAAATAAATAAATCTATCTATCTTTTTTTAAAAATGCACAAAATTACTAAAAACCCATAGAAGTGGACCCATCCACACAAGCAAAGGGAAAAAGGCATAAAGAGAAGCAATGGGCTCCAGGATCCAGGGCCAGAGAAGCTGCAGGAAGTGGCCATGTCTGCCACTCCCCCCATCAGGAGACGGCCTTTGAGGAATGTTCCCTTCCCCTGCTCCCTTCCCCCGACCTTGTCCTAGAGAGAAAAATCAATGGCACAAGGCAATGTGGGGACAACCAAGAAGTACCAAGAGCCTGGGAGGGCTGGTTATTGCCTTGTGCTTCATTTGAACACAATCATAAACGTTTTTTCTGTGTGTGTGTGCGTGCCTATGAGAGAGGGAGGGGGTCAGAGTAGCCGGGAGGGTCTTGAACTGTGATCTGCTTCTGCTCCAGAGTGGTAGGATTCCAAGTAAGTCCCCCCACGCCCCCTCTGCCCAAGTCTTGCATTTGTCTGTGGCTTTTGTGGCAGAACATGCAGCCACAGTGAAGAATATGCAGCCAATAAAGCCGAATCAGCCAGGAGCCACAGCTGGCAACAAGCGACATCAGAGCCGAGTCCGTATAAACCATGATAATCAGAAACAGTCCTGTCTAATGACAGGCTCTCGGCTCACAGCCCTGTTGTCAAGGGACGGGGATACACTGGTTATCTGGTCACTGGAGAAGGAAAGGTTGCTGACTCTTGGATAAAGAGTAACGGTGATGGCAGCGTTTTGATGGCCCACACTCTAAAGAACTCATCTACCCCCAAACTAGGAGGTAAATCCTGCCATTCCCTGATTGTACAGAGAGAACCTGGCACCAAAGGTACACAGCCATGACAGCAGCAGCCTGTTCACAGAGCTCTCATCTCCAGGTCCTGCCTCCACTCCCAACAGAGGGTCCCAGGAGATGACAGAAAACCAGCAAGGAGGGGAGGGCCGTGATAGAGACAGCTGAAAAGCCAGTTGGTGTCACAGAGAACAGAGGTGAGGCTCAGACCCCTGCCACACACACAGACCGAGCGCACACACAGCAGTGCACAGCGGGAAGGCAGGGGTCACACTCCAGCTCCCGGACCTGGAGCAGGCTCTGTATTCTGAGGAAGGTGTGGACAGACAAGGAAACAGCCGCTCAAACTAGGGGATTTTAATCTTGCTCAAAGAAATCATCTGTGGGGTAGGGAAGGGAGCGCCTGCTCAGGTGTCTGGAGGAGCAGATGCATAACTGTCTGCCAGTGTGACTCAGAGAGCCTGGTTCCCTCAGCTACCACACGGCACAAGCCCCACACGCTCCCAGAGTCTGAAGGGGCCTGACGGAGAACGTGACAGGAGGAAGTGACTGAGTGGCTGGAGAGAATGTCACCACTGAGAAGCCCAGTACAGGAAGGCACTGAGGAAAATGCCCACAGGCACCTGCCAAGAGGTGGTCCCGGGCCTGTGGCTCAGAGGCTCACCTGCCACATGGGAGGCGCTGGTCTCCCCCTCTAGAGCCACACCACGAAGGGGAGTGAGGCTGGAAGGTGGTTTAGTGATTATGAGTGTGTACCGCCTTTGCACAGTTCCTACACCCCCATCAGGCTACTCGGAACCACCTGTAACTCCAGCTCCAGGGGATCTGCTGCCCTCTTCTGGCCTCTGCACACACATACATACAAATAAGTGATAAAAAACAGTTGGATGGGGCTGGAGAGATGGCTTAGTGGTTAGGAGCACTGTCTGCCCTTCAGAGGTCCTGAGTTCAACTCCTAGCACCCACATGGTGGCTCACACCATATATACTGGGATCTGACGCCCTCTTCTGGCGTGCAGGTGTACATGCAGAGCACTCATATACATAAAATAAATAAATGCAAAAAAAAAAAAAAAAGCAGTTGGAGCTGATAAATTCCAGTACTGTTTACGATTTTCCACAAAATAGATAGAATTAAAAAAAAACAAAAACAAAAACAACCAGGGCTGGAGAGATGGCTCAGCGGTTAAGAGCACTGGCTGCTCTTCCAGAGATCCTGAGTTAATTCCCAGCAACCATATGGTGGCTCACAACCATCTATAATGAGATACGGTGCCCTCTTCTGGTGTGCAGGCAGAAAATTGTATACATATTAAATAAATAAATCTTAAAAAAAAAAAAACAGTAAAGATTGTCTACAAAAATCAAACTACATATCAACCAAACATCAACACAAGCAGCAATGAAAAAGTCCTAAATTTGCAAGCACGTGTCAAACTAACACAGAACATGCTTTCCCAGTTGTCCAGGGACAGTCAGGCATCAGGGCCATTTCCTAAGCGTTTAGGTGACATGGTTCATTTCAGGAGGCCCCAGCCATCTCCTGAGCTGGTGACCTTCCAAGGCAACATGCTCTTTTTTCCTTTGGGGGAGGGGCTCTTTTCATGTGTATTCATGTGTGGTGTCTGTGTACGTGTATATGCATGCTTGTATGTGTGTGAGCTCACGGTGTGTTTGCAGCTCTAAAGCTGAAGTTGGGAGTCTTCCTCTATTGCTCTTCCACCTTCTTCATTAAGGCGGGGCCTCTCAATCAAACCCAGATTTCACCGATTGATCTGCTCCTGCTGCTAGCCACCTTGCTTAGGACATGTGGGCTCCACCTTCCAAGGCTGGCCGGAACCACAGGTGAGCAGCCCACGTTTACTTGGGTTCCAGGGTCCGAACTCCGTCCTCTTTCCTGTGCAGCTCTGCCTGCTGAGCCCACGATGCTCTTGACAGCAGCGGCCCTCCTGTGACCAGAACCCAGAGTGGGGCAGGGGGTTTGCTCTCTTGTCCCTGCACATCTGTCTGAAGGGTATGCAGGGCCTTCCCTCCACCCCTGTTGCTGTCTCTGCCCTCCATCTCCCACCCCTTTCTGTCTGCCTTTCTTGGTTCTGCCCTCTTTTCTGATGGTCCGTGACTCATGTTTGTGGTTGGCATTATGCCACCTTAGTACTCGATCCCCTGCAAGGGAGAGGGCGGCGCAGGCCACTCAAGACCGCCACCTGCAAG